TAAAAAGTAGCAGAAAAGCACCTAAAAGCTGAAGAAGCTGAAACAAATATCCTGATGCATGCTCAATAATCCAAGTAGAAGCTGAAACAAAGTTGTTAAAGCTAAAACGAGCAAAATAAACTAAAATTCAAAGTAGTGAAACACTAGTAAAAGTAGTAAAAACCTAGCTAAACACAAAATGTAGCAAAAGGCTAGAAATAAGCTTAACTTAGCAAAAAGGTAGCTAGAAGTATAAAAGTAGCAAAAGTCAAGCTAAAAAGAATGCTAGCTAAAGCTAAACAGGACAAAAAGACTTAAAAGTAGCAGAACCTAAAAGCTGAAGAAGCTGAAACAAAGTTGTTAAAGCTAAAAGAATCAAAATAAACTAGCTAAACACTAGTAAAAGTAGTAAAACCTAGCTAAACACAAAATGAAGCAAAAGGCTATCAAAAGGCTTAATGTAGCAAGAAGTAAAAAAGTAGCAAAAGTAGCTAAAATATAAAAAATGCTAGCTAAAGCTAAAAAGAGCAAAAGACTAAAAAGTAGCAGAAAAGCATCTAAAAGCTGAAGAAGCTGAAACAAAGTTGTTAAAGCTAAAAGAAGAAAACTAGCTAAAACTTAAAGTAGCAAAACACTAGTAAAAGTGGCAAAAACCTATCTAAGTGCATAATGTAGCAAAAGGCTATCAATAAGCTTAACGTAATGTAGCAAAAAAGGTAGATAGAAATAAAAAAGTAGCAAAAGTCTAGCTAAAGTTAAATAGAGCAAAAGACAAAAAAAAACTCCACAAAAAAATATAACGCGTACAGAAACATAACAAGCTGCTTAACGTAGTTTTGTTTATTTTTGTGATGCTGATTCAACTCAGAGTTACTACTAAAGGAGTTGTTGTGTTTTACGCCACCTGGATGTTGAGTTTGCCTGGGAGTCGGCTCGGTAGAAATAATCCACCGGACAGTCGAGACGCGAGAAGATGGCCGGTGGCAGGAAGTAAGGCACGTCCTGGTTGAAGAACTCTTCGTTCTCAGGTTTACGGAGGACGATTTTGTCATACAGAGACGTGGACTTTCCATCCTGTGAATGCACAGCAAGGTACTGGAAATCTGTCATTCCTGCAAAGAAAAAAAAATCATCATTTCATCAAGTTTCTCTCCACATGTCAAACTAAACCAATTAGTGAGAACGTAAACAGGCCTCTTCGAATGAATGTGTCTGAAAAGTTTTCCATCCTACCCTGGAATTTGTACGTTGTTCCTACGATTCCAACCACATCCATTTGGATCTCGGCGTCGTTGGGGTCTTTCTTTCGCACCCGTCGGCGCACTTTGAGGAGGAGGTTGCTGGACGAGAGACGGTTTCCACACACGTAGTGACAGAACGGGTCCTGGGGTCGGAAACGCAGCTCGAGACGCCTGTTTGGGTCGCTGAAGCTCTGAGGGACAAACACGAAACACGGTCGGCGGTGCAAATTATTGATCGGTGGTTAGAAAATGACAACTACGTCAATTAATGTGAGCAGACACGTTCAAACTTTACAATAGAACTGCAATCAGATTCTTAAAATCTGGATTTATAATAAATCCAGCAAGTGTTTAAAAGGAATTACGAACTAAAAAAGTAGATTACACAAAAATAGAGCCAGTACGCTGAGGCGGGTAACAAATATATTTTTACAGAATAGGTTTACTAACATCATGCCTACAAGCATTTAAAGGACTTTAAATATTTTTATTGGACTTTAGCTGCATTCACTTTCAGTCCATCACGTGACCAGCTTTGGAGGAAAGTATTACCTTTTGTTGTTAATCCAAGCAGCTCTAATCTGTGAATCATTCAGATTTAAAAATCGATCATTCTCTGCAGATTTTTGGGTTCAACCACTGGATCTGTTAATATTCCTATCTGACAGGGCCATCACCTTCAACAAAAACAACTTTTTTTTATCTTTTTGATACCGTCATCCAAATTTGGACAGGTGTTTATTAAAAATGAGTGTGCACAAAAAGCAGCTAAAGTCCAAATAAAAATACTGAGAATCCTTTAAAGGCTTACAGAAGTATTGATGAGTGTTGTTGCAGCACCATTTGTCCGTTTTCCTCACTTTGCTTATCGTCTGTTCTCCTCCCAGAGTCTCCAGCATCTTGTCCACGCTGCTCACCACCGCCGGATACTCGACACACACGAGCCTCTTCTTGTCCCGCAGCTCCAAGGAGCGCGAGCTGCCCGGAACCGAGCCCTCACTCTGACCGGAGAAACTGAGCTCCTTCAGGGTAAAGTTCACCTTCACCTCGGAGAAATCCGCCATTTAAATATCTAAGTTGTTATAAATAACGAGGGAACGATTTCTGGTTGGGAAGACTTTACAGAGAACACTTGTCCGACTGATAAATAACACCGTGCGGAAACAGCGGTACAGTCTGAAGGTTCCGAGATCTAAATATTGATCGTTCAATCGTTGTACAAATAAGTTAACTAAATTTGTAAACGTCTTATAGTATAGTATTTTTTTTAAACATTGAAACACATCAATGATTTGTTATTTTAATAAATAGTGTATACTTTCTGTTTAGAATATATATTTTTATTTTCTTGTTTTGTAGATTTCCTTATCTTTGTGCAGCCATTACAGCAGACATTGGGCTATTTTAGTCATTCATTCATCAAAACCTTCTGCTCATTCAGGAGAAGGGTGCTATGAATGTTTGGATTTGTAAATTTTATAATTTTCAATATCTTTACAAATATAAATAAATACATGAAGAGCCGTTAATTCTTTTAGGAACATTGTTTCCTTTTAAAATCTTCAGCGCTTGATCTGTTTTGGTTTTCTTACGCTGATTTTAGAGTTACCAATTAGCTACTTTTAAATCTGAGTCAGCGTTTTGCTCCTTTTAGGAACTTCCAACTACACTTTTGTTATTTTTTTGTTTGTTTATTTTTAATTCAACCTTTATTTATACAGGTTAGCGTCTGAGCCTTGAGGACTCATGTATAAGAGTCCTGTTTTAGCTACTCCTTTGCTACATTTTAGCTTTTGGCAAGCATTTAGCTACTTTTGGCATTTAGCTAATCTTTTGTCTTAGCTTTACAACTCACTTGTTTTTGACAACTCAGCATTCACACTGAAAAAAACTGAGTAATCAATCAATCAAACAGTAGCATAAATCATAACTAAAAAGTTGAAATTAAATTATTTTTTCTTTATTATTTCCTAAATATTATTGTAATTCTATGTACTTTTTCAGTACATCTGAATTATTCGTTCCATTTTGTGTTTGATATGAAACTTACAATTTCAATGACACTGCCTGCATACTTTAAAAAAATAAGAATAAAAATTCAAGACAAAAACCGCCTGCATAAATAAGAGTGAAATAAAATATGTTTATATGTTTTTTAAAATTTAATTGTACCTCTTATAGTTAATAAGCATGTCAATAAATAGTGCTTTGATATAAAAATCAGTGTGTTTGTTTTGTTTGTTGAGGGATGTTTATATATATATATATATATATATAT